CCGCTCGTGCAACACGATGATCCACGGGGACACAAGTGATACAAGTGATAGGTAATTCCTTTGTGATCCTATCTTTGTCTAACCTTCGGTCCTATTCCGCACTAAAAATGAAGACTACAACAAGAGAGCACTGAACCTTACAAATCGTACGCACTGAACCTTACAAACGCGTACCAAGTTGCCAGAAATTTTGATGGAATCCCTGGCAATTGAATTCAAATTTCATCAGAATGACCACGGCAGAAGTGTTTAGCGAACGTCAGTGACACCGGCGCATTCACTTCCATTTAGTTCCTATGAGATAGATGCTACCACTGATGCACAAGTCAAAAGTACACTTTTCAGGTGTACAAACCGCACCCAGTTTGCTCTAAACGCGAGTAGTCTGGGCGCAGCTGCTCGTATGTGTTGCGAAGCGGTTGCTCTCCACTAACATTCTTCTGTATAACGCGCCCCATAATACGCGGATTTTTTGGCGCATTTGCTTTGCAGCAGAGCAATTACTGAAAATCGGGTAAATTTCAACCACTTGGAAAGACATCTTAGATGGGATATCACAGTAATTTGTTGACTAATTTCCAAAAAGAAAAATCTTATAAGTCGTCATTGAAGCAATTTCCATGGTCATTAAGCGCGGTGAAGCATATTTCGCTTTCAAAAACAGTGATTTGTAGCGGAATTGTAAGCGGACATACAGGCTACCTAATGTGAGTGTTAAAGCTTCAGCGGTTTGGATACTGGGAACACCCACCTGGTCTTGCGCCACCTCCGCAAATGTATCATCTGGGCATTTTTCACGCGCCAATCTTCAACTACTACTCAGGCGTGGAAGAAGCGCCCACAGAATACCCTCGAGGACGCGAATCTGCCGAGGCGAGGCGGAAGTGCGGATCCGAGAATTCCGAGACTCCGGAGCTCTGACGATCACAATATGATAGTTTATTAGTAAGTGCATAAAATGGCGAGGCGGCACAAAATGCTATCGGTGTGTAGAGAAGGGAGAAGGTAAAGGGGATGATGTGAAGGAGAAAGCAGTGCAGAGAATAGGAATAGAGGAAGCAAATTTGATGATCCAACGCCGTTACGGAACCCGTCTCATCCCCAGACGAGTGGCGCAGGCGGGACCGGATCGCCGACGAGTACGATATTTCGGACTGTGTATCGTACTTGTGAATACGAAGAAGAAATCGTTTTTACAAGGGAATGGACTCCTTTCCCTTTTTTTGTTAATGGCCTTTGAGAGGATAATCAGAACGCTGGATAACTGGGCAGGATAGCATTGTACACGGCTAAGTTCGACAAAGTAGGCGATTGTTGAGATGAAACAGTTTTGACAAGTCAATCGATAGTATGCTTCCTTCCAAACTTTGTGGTAACACGTCATAAATCTTGCCTTCGGCGTTTGAAGGCAGAAGAGTGCGATATATCTTGACTGGAGCTTCAGTGCTCACGCATTCCATGGGCTGCTCACCTCGGTAATAGCAGCCAGTGATGGGGACCGATGGGATAAAATGAGACTCTACCAGCAAAATGATCTTATTGAACTTGAAAATAATCTAGTTTACTCGCCATGTTAAAACAGGTTCATGAGGCAGCAAACTCAACTGAAACGCGGCGACATTCGTGTAGAGTTGTTATAGTGTCTACGAGCGCACGCGGCGCTACATAGAGTGCAAGGAATTTTACCGTACACCTCAGAATAGTGAAGCTTCTTAGCATTCACCTCAATGCGCTCCTTATGATTGAAGCCAATTTCATTGAAGGTAGATTAGCCGCTTCCACATGGTCTCCAAGTGCTGACATAGTTCCACCACAGTGTTCCTAAACTATGCCTACGAGCTGCCGCCGCACGCTAAGCCGCTAAGAAGAAAGGAAAATAGATTTTGACTGTTTTGAATATTTCCACACTCTTGTACAGGGCTTATCAAAATAAGTGTCGTTCGCGCCAGCATCTCCATCTTCGCGCTGGACTCTACGTCTCTTCTGCGGCACATGTTCCCTAATCACTTCCAATCGATTGAGGCTCGGCCTTTCTCACGCTCGCCCTGAGAAAGTGCTTAGAGAGCAGTCCCGCGGAAGAGACGCAGAGTCCAGCGCGAAGACGGAGATGCTGGCGCAAACGACACTCATTTTGATAAGCCCTATACCTCGATTCCTTTTGATGAGCAGAGTACCAAAATTGGAAGAAGTGGCATCAATGCTGTTATGTCTCCGGTGTATATAAGCCGTAGAAGCGGCTCGCCACTGTTCGCGTCGTTTCACTACAGTATTATTTATACCGTGCCAGTAACCCAAATGTGCTTCTCTTTATTCTCTTCGATCTCCAACATGCAAAAGCCAGCGCTGTGCGCATAAACCGGGGCAGACGTTGCTTCCAATTGAATGCTTCAGCCTATGTCCGATTGAGTCACGCTATACATCGCTCCATTGTAGCTTTTCTACCAGAAAAGCGAACGTCAACCAGGAGCGAACGAGCAGGCAGCAAAGTGTAAGCGGGGCCAGCAATGCCCACAAACTCTGACGACGATCAGAAGCTCTTCTCATTACGAAAAAATAATTTTTGATTATCGCAATTTTGGACTTTGCCTAATATGTGCTTTTCCAAGACAGATGACTAAATCGATGAATAACTTTCTAAGGTACCAAAGTAGAAGTTTTTGGTTTATATCAAGTTGGTGTTCTTTAGCCTCACCGGAGGTATAAAAATCAAGGCCAACGTTTCGGCTATTCGCCTCCGTAAGAGACTGAATGGGAAATCAGTCGGTGATGACGCGGAGAAATTCTACGGCCTGACAATGAAAAGTCCAAGCCGATTCTGGACAAAAGCTTTGCCAAGTCGCTCTTACAAATACGATTTCTCGGTGCATGACCGCTAGATGACCGGATATGGACGTATTGAGTGTGACGGTCAGTATAGTTGGCTTAGATACGGAGATAACTTTCGTGATTGCAAGGCATTCGTCTTTACGGGTGTTATGTGGATTTCTGGCGCTTTTTTACAATGCTTCCAGAAATTTGCGCGCTGGCGTCCTGAAATTGGTTCATGCATTTGAAGATTCTTGTAGCCATCCTTCATGCCTTGATAGTCTATGCGTTTCCAAATGGGTGGAAATTCGCTGTTTATCCTTCCATCTATGTTCTTTTATGCAATTACAAAAGAGACGAGCGGTTTCACCTATAAGTTGTTTCAGACTGCCGCACTGACCGCGGTAAACTGCAGCAGGCAGCAAACTGCAGCTGACCGCACTGACCGCAAACCGCACAGATCGCTGCATCCTTTGCATCCTTTCCTTTTGATACGTTCGATTCAGGTTTTGCGCCTTTTTTAGTAGTTTTCGAAGAATTTTTCTTTTTTCTCATCCTTTCTATTTTTTCTGCTTTTTTTCTTTCACTCTGCTCTCTGCATCAAACGGTTTGCGCGGATTGCAGCTTACATCACAGCCTATATGGTGCCAAATAATGAGAGGGCTACTTGAATAAGAAAGAAGTTATGGGGAAAGTTGCAAAACTTATGTGCCAACCTAATACTATATTTGCGACCGTTGAAACTTTGAGTTAATTAGTGTTTCAGTCTTTACTTCGTCCACGTTGGTTGGGTCAGATTCACCGCATCGTTGTTATTTGGGAATAGCTTGTTAAGCCTGAACATCTTTTTGCCTTGCAGTTTCTTCGGATATCCCCTACGCAATCTCCAAGATCGGAAGACGCATGAAACGCATTATTTTGACTTATCAAGCACAGCCCTGAACTCAGCGCATCCAGAAGGCCAAGGAGGGATGGAAAGGTCGTAATTGCAATTTTCCTGAGCCATTGCTTGTAACACGCTGTTTAGGTACTGCACTCGAGCTGATAATAATCATTTTGTTTTGTTCGTTACTTCATGTTCTGAGTGTTTTCGTCCTTTGTTCTGGATGGCACGTCTTGTGTCTTAAATAAATAAATAAATAAATGATCAGTTTTGCCGAGCCATTGCCTTTAAGCGAGGAAAAAGGTTTGGAAATCTATCCTCGCGAAAGAGGGCCGAGCCAAGGTATAAGCTCCTGCAAGACGAATGCGGTCTCGCAACCGTTGCACATCGAAACGACCGTCTTCGTCTTGCAGCAGCTTATAGGGCGGTCCTGCAGGATCCGAGACGCACGAGCCTCCTCACTTCTATTGATACAGAGGGTACCAAAATCACGCAGCAAATTTTAGCCTCCGTAACCGGTGTTACCTTAGCCGTAATAGCTCATTAGGATCGTTTTGCAATGTAGTGTTTATTTTTGTTGTGTTGTTACTGACTTTAGTGATCTGCTGTTTTGTATTGACCTGTGCGCGTAGACGAGCGTAAAGACGCCCCTTCATAACTTTTTATAGTCGCCTCGTCTTAGCCGTCTGTTCTTATTCATATTCAGTCTACTAATAAATCTAGCATAGGCCGTCCGCGCAGGGCGCGGAGAGTGCGCAAAGTGTGTACCGCGCGTCACTCCTCTTTTCTCGTGCACTCTCGCTGCTTGTTTTCTCTGCGCCTTTTCCGGTAATGAACTGTCTTCGATGGACGCGACAGCGCTGTTCTCCGCGGACGGCCTATATTCACAAGTGTTCTGGATTCCCATGTTACAAGTAGAAGTACAAGTTGAATTAAAGACTAAAGCAGTATGGAGCTGCTCTCAATTCTAACTGAGCTAATTTTTTGCTGAAAAAATTCATATTTACCGCCTGAAACCCCGCAAATTCGCAAACGGAACTGGAGTACATTTTTATGACAACGAGCTCCTCGACTGGGTATCGCGTAGCTCTTTCACGGACAACTATTTAAAGCAGCGGCTTAAACAAGAAAAAACTTCATTACGGTAATCAACCCAAATTTAACAGTTGAGACTAACAAGGATAGGTACAACGACGGAGTCAACCACCAAGACCACAAAAACTTTGAGTTTCCTCAGTCGTGGTAACTGCACTTAAACCGTATCACAGCATGTAGGGATTTCGCAGTACATTGAAACTGAGAAACTATAAGATCAGCCAACTAATTGCAACTGTTTGTAAACTTGTTTGCGATACTCCTCAAGACCTCCCTCAAGGTTCACCACCATTCTATCTTTGACTACCCAAAGTTCCTTACATACCATTTCGATAAGTTGCTCATCATGAGATACTAGAACAACACCTCCCTAAATACAAAGAATGATTAAGAATAACCAATTGCAGCTATGAAGACTTACCGCAAACTTATTCAAAGCTGCTCCAAGTGCAGCAACGGTCTCTACATCTAGATGGTTAGTAGGCTCATCAAGAATGAGGTAGTTGGGACTATAACAAAAAGGTAATTCTTTGCTTATAAACGAAAGAGGACTTCGCAGACTAACTTCAACATAGCAATATTCGCGAACGCTAAGCGTGATTTTTGACCTCCAGACAGTGTATACACTGATTGCAAAGCCATATCTCCGACTAATCCAAAATGACTCAAAGCTGTACGATACTCTTCTTGCGATTTGCCTAAAAAATCGTCTATTGAAAGAGCATGGGCAGTATGGCATTACCTGGATATCTATGCGCAAGCACTTCGATAGCGGTCATATCCATATCCAATTGATCGACATGGTGTTGGGTGAAGTAGCCTATTCGAATTCGTCGGTTTGCGTTGCGAATACCCACCTATGCAAGAATGTCGGTTTTCGTTACAAAGAACGGGCAGAAAAACTAAATGCACTTTGTGGAAGTAAGACCTATGTGTTAAATTGCATCTGTCGCATCTCATGCTTAAAGGAGAGGCTCAACACAAAGCGCGGTCCTAAGCTGTACGAAGAAAAAGCAATTCAGATAATGAAACAAAAAAAAAATAGAGAGATGGAAAACATCTAACGTCTACTATGGAAAACTCACAGAAGGTTCTAGCTCTCCTAGTAACAACTTCAGTAACGTTGTTTTACCCGATCCATTTTCTCCAACCTAAGCAAGCAAGTTGTGTACAAACGCAAAATCAGAAGTAAGCACTTACAATGCAGATTCGCGAATGCGCATGCGTGCCAAGGTCCAGTTTTCGGAATATGAACGGAGCATCATCGGTATACCTAGAGTGCACATAATAGACCCTAATAACAGGTTATTTCCCTGACGGTTTTTCAAATCAAGTCAAGTAAACCATCTATCCAGAAAGCAGAAACGCATCGATACTAATATGTCTAAAGTGAACAAACCTGAAGGAAACGTCATCAAGTTGTAGCACAGGGTTATTCAAGTCCTCGCACTCAGGGAATTTGAAATGGATATCTGCATCGAGTTCAACAGGATGTAAAACAGGTCTGCAAATTTCCAACATTTAATGATAGCGACGGGTACAGAAAGAACTTGCACAGTTTATTAGATGTAAAGAAGTAAAATATATGAGGTCCAAATCACTAAAAATGCAAGATTCTAATGAAGCAAAACTTACAGCTTTTCCAGCATTTTTATTCTACTCTGGACCATAGCGGCACGTTTTGCATTGTATCGGAATTTATCAATAAATTCTTGTGTGTGCTGCCGCAAGGTTTGCTGCGCTTCATATTCTCGTTGTTGTTGCGTTAACTTCTCTTTCATAGTCTGAAAAGCTTGCAAAGTATTCAGATTTCCGGGCAAGAACGCAATCGTTCGATTTATAGAGAATACTGCATGATCGGTACTTATGATCGGCTCCCAGATTCGTGTGGAGGTGTATTGCAGACTTTGCCTGATAACACAAGTAAACTTACTGAACCTCCACGTCATAGCATTGCTTTTCGCACTCTCTCACTAGGAATGCCACGCAGTGAGCTGGCAAGACTCCACCTCCACACGAATCTGGGAGCCGATGTTATATGTAATTCAGTCTTCTAACTACGCAAGATTTGGCAAAGATAGTAACCTTTGATTCAACTGGCTTGGCTTCAGCAGGGCGGGGCTTTGGCTTTGTGGCCTAATTGAGGCCGCTCGCGCCCGCGACGCATCTGCGTCTCTCTCGCGCGAGTGCTCTCTGATCACTACCTAGCCTTATTTAGGTCACGAAGTCGCGCCTTCCCAAAGCCAAACCAGTTGAATCAAATGGAACGTTGACACCGGAGCTTCACAACTGCTATTATAATTTTCCCTTCAGATGTGGTGCACTCGTTCTTGGAGATTAGATGCAGTATGAAGTGAGCTGAGATACAGATAAGCAAACTGTTTGATTCTTGGTAAGAAAACGAAGAAAATTGGCGCATTTTCCGATATCTACAAATTCGAGATTTTGCTGAGCTAAGAACATAAAGCCGCAACTTAATCAAAACGCATCAAAGCGAAGCTTCACATGTATACTTGCTAGCAGATTCTCATTTGTGTATAATCCAACTTCATTCAGGTTGCAGATGGCCTCATTCTTGCTTTATGCTCCAGTCAACTCTCGGTCTTGACTAACTATCGCAAGTTACGCGAATTTTTTCTAATTTTCTGCTTCTGATCTGTTACCAGAAATCAAGCAGCTGTGCATTTTTGTAGCTCACTTCATAGTCTATCCAAAAAACAGTGCATCACATCAAAAAAAGGAATGTTATTGAATTGGGAGCGAAATTTGGGTGATAATCAAGCAGCGAAACTAGATGAAATGTAGACAAGGATGAATGAAAAATTCACAAATCTAACCAAACACAGCGTCTAAAGGCAGGAGAAAATTAAACCGCCTAACCTTTTCAAAATTATTGTAGTTTCCTTTGTAGTGATCCAGTCTTCTTGTATGCAGATGTACAATATCGGTGCAGATTTCGTTAAGGAATTTTCTATCGTGGGAAACGGTAAGAATCGTACCTTCCCATTGCTAAAACAATCAAACGTAACATAGAAAGCAGATGATACGCTTCACCTGTAGATGTCCTTCAAGCCAGTACACAGCTCTCATATCCAACATGTTCGTCGGTTCGTCAAGAAGAAGCAAATCGGGTTTGACAAAGAGAGCACGCGCCAGAGCAACACGCATTCTCCATCCACCTGAGAATTCCCTGAAAACAAGCACGTATTACACTCAAAACCGTGGAAAAACAACTATAAGGATGAGAAGCGGAAAAAATGTTGCGATGTATGTTCAATTTTCATCATAAACAAGCAGTTTCCGAGACTTTTTTCAACGAGGATGATCATGGCTGGTACAAGCATACGGTCGATCGGCGTAATTAAGATTATCCATAAAAAGGAGCCGACCTGGTTGGCTTCTTCTGTTCATCAGGTGTGAAACCAAGACCAAAAAGGATTGAGGAAGCTCGAGCGGGAGCCTAAAGCAAGAAACTATAACTGGAAATAGAGGTGTAGAACGATCAGACCGAAGTTAAACCTTAAAAAATGTTTGGGAAAGGAATTGTCAATTTTCAACATATCTTCCTTTTCATGATAAAAACTATGATTTATAAGTAAGAGACGCACCTAAGCATGATGCTACATCAATTGATGACTCATTCAAAATTTCAAGTGGATAAAGTACATCCAAAACCTGAGTGAGTAGGACAAAAGAGCAGGCGCAGATTGAGATACAAACCTTATCTAGTTGCAGATGTTCCATTTCGGCATATAGTTTTGATAATTCATCACTCCATTTGTTCTTCTCGGCTTCAGATATGTTCTCTCTGGAAAACCAAATTGATATTCTGCTAACAAAAGCAATTAGACACTTACTTATTCAGCCTAGCTTGTAATACATGTTCCTTCTCAATCATTGCCTGCCTTCGAGAATCAGACGCCAGTACAGCATCTATGACACGAGTATCATCACCTACGACTTCTTGTTCGACAGATAGCAAAGTGATTCCAGCCGGAATTCGTAGATGCCCACTTCAAAGACGAATTCTTACTTCGTGCTTTGTCTAAGATCGAACCAACCTCGAAATCATGCTAATAAGCGTTGTTTTTCCGATACCATTACGGCCTACTAGACCATAACGTCGTCCATAAGCGAGGGTCAGATCTGCAGATGAAAGAAGCTGTCTGAACGATGTGAAAATTAGCTTCAAAAATCTTCTTTTGTAAGGGTATAGAACAAAACAAAACTCACTTAGTTCCAATTGAGATATCAACGCTTTCCAATTTTACATCTTTTACATTAACTCCACGAGTTCCCAATTCTTTTACAGGCGCCTATAACGGAAAACAATATCTGACATAAAGGCAATGTCCCGGAAGATTTTGCATTTCCATCTTTTTGCACGTTCTGGGCCTTTTCGACCCGCAGACTCCGAATCTGAGCTTTAAAATGGGTGAAATCCTTTTTCGGGGCCTTTACCTAATTTCCAAAAGGCAGCTCGGAGAATTTCAGTGGAAAGTTGGTGGGTTTGAAGGCAGTGTCCGGGCAGAGACGCGATTTTCAAAAAATCCACTTACCGGAAGTTATCCGCAACGCTGAATCCAAATCCACCATAGAAGGCGCAAAAACGGCGAGAACATGCGCTCTCCAAAGCCTTACAATTTGAAACTATTCCCGCCAAGTCTGAGACGCAGGGTCGCTTTAGGAGCCCAGGATTTTGACTGTGGCGGCATGCACACTCTGCCGCACAACAGAAATTCAGGTTGGAGCGACTCCGCCCCAAGGCGTAAGTTGCTCTACTTCCCGGTCATTTTTCTTGCTCTAGGTCGAGCGTTATCTCGTACTTGCGCGATGCTGTATCTGAGGGGGGGGGGGGGGGAGGCACGCATGGCACTCAATTTGCGAAACCTCACCTTGCCCGGACACTGCTTTGAGCACGGTCTGTGAGCGCAAACCCAATAGGCTCTCCTCTGCGGACTGCAAACGCTATAGCTTATAGGAAAGGAACATTGTTGAGAGGAGTTAAGGCAGTGTTCAAGCAAATTTGGGCATTTAGGTTATTCGCGTGGAGACTGATAAGGGGGTCCTAACTAAGGCGATGCATAAACGGCAGCGCAAATCATCATTCACGGCTGAGAAACACACCAAAACCCTAAAGCCTGCGCCGTGACCGTAACCCGCTCTCCTTCAATTAGCACTGTGTTCGTGTTGGGAGTCGTCCTTAGTCACTCGCAAGTTAGTTACGGTCGACGCTCTCGAAGGGTTTGGGGATAAATTTCTCAGCAATGAATAAACCACTTGCGCTGCAACTTGGGCAAAGCCTTAGTTAAGCCTCCTCACCAGTTTCCAGACGAAAAACGCACGCGCTCAGATTTGCCCGGACACTGTCTTTAAAGGCACCGTCCACCCAGGTTTTCGAATTCCACGTTTTTATCGTTTCAGGGCCTTCTCATGTCCCTGATTTCGAATATGTTGCGCGAAAACTCCGACAGTCCCCGTTCCGGAGAACCCACAGGCCGGCTTTCCGGAACGGTGATTGGATGGGCGCACACAAATGGGCGGGCATGGATGGGGGTCCTCGGGCATCTTCGCTGTTCCGAAGCGATTTTCTCGCTTCCGAAGCGGCATTTTGCGCCGCGACTTGGGCATTGGATTGATAGGGGGCTCTACTATTATATGCTGCCAAAAGCTCAACACCCTCAACCTAGGCGTGCCTTTAAGGTGTAACGGCGGTATTTCTCCGCTGTAGTGTGTTACTTTCAAAAAAAGAGTACCGCCGGACTAGTTTGGATGGTACAGTCTCATTTTTCTGCTGAACAGCATAACTTCAGCTACGAACGAAAGTGTCGAGAAACTCGACCGATAATTTCCATATTTTTCCTATGTTTCCTTTGATGATTCACTTTTCTGCCATGAAATGTTGAGTGCGCGGCAAGCCCTTTCTTTGCATGGCTGCAGCTGCGCCAAGCATCAAGTAAAAAGGAGGGTGGTCGCAGCTGGCGACCTCCTCTTCTCATTCTTGACTTGAGTGTCTTTTAATTATCATTGCTTCATCTCATTTAGTCGTGCCTTACATTAATTTCATATACATTGCCTTTACTTGCTTTCAGTTCAGGTAGACTAAAACATATCAAGTATTTTATCCCTAACGTTTGCCATAATCAGAATCTCATATTAAGCTGGTATTATATTTTGCGTGCAATATCGTTTGTTTGAAATTTATAATTGTTAATAAAGGGTTTAATTACCCAAGTTTGAGGTATCGCCTCGTGCACAACTCCGTCACTCTAAAGACCCGCGTGGCAGTTGATATTCCGTTGGCGTTATCAAGTGGTATTCGACGACTACAGTACTGACTATATATAAACTCGTCTACATTTGTTACAGAAAGTGATTGAAAGATGATAGATAAGTTTACGAGGTCATTGTAGAAACAGGAAAAGGCAAGAAAGTTGGCACTTCTACTACACAGATCCTTGAAGAGAGACTGACCTGTGAAGCAGTTGCAGTACATTCCGGTCGTTTCTTCCGAACGACTGGCTCGGCCTCACGCTGTTCGGCTTTTTGTGCTATTCGATTTTCGGCTTTTCCTAGTTTCTTCTTGTCCACAGACTAGATAATAATAAATATTCGAGGCTAAGGCAAATCTATCCACTTACAGTTGGAACATCCCTAGCTTGCAGTTTCCATATGCTTTCCATTTCAGCGAAATTCAAGTTTTCGGCAGCCATGTCTACCGCTTGATCTAGTTTTTTCGTGGTAGTTCCATGCCTTTCCACCTTTGGCAAATTCCTTAAAAATGGAGGAAAATCACGATATCATAAAGCACAGTGACGAATCAAAGGTCAAAAACTGTTACATACTCTCCGTGAAGAAATTGTAGCAGTTGTAAACAAGTTTTATTCAAACCATCGTTTTGCAGCTCTTCTACATAACTCTGCAATGGAAATATGGATATCTTCTTATATATAAAGCTGAATGTCTGTTTGTATCTGTCTGTATGTCTGTCTGTATGTCTGTCTGTACGTATGTTCCGAATAGAAAATTCCATTTCTGAACCGATCCGGACCAAACTTGGTACACATACACTTCGGGCCCCGGCGGGTGTCATAGGCTACTTTTCGTCATCGATCGATATCGATTTTATCGATTTTTATCGATTTTTTTGCAGAGTTCACCTACGGGGCTGGGAGTTGGCACAGGGGGGTAGTCGAGCATGGGGATTCCGAATACAATATTGGTTTTCAGGATTATCGATTACTTTTATCGATTTTATCGATTTTTTGCAAAGTTTGAACTACGCGGCTGGGATTTGCACAGGGGGTAATCGAGCATGGGGATTCCGAATACAATATTGGTCTTCAGGATTATCGACTATTTTTATCGATTTTATCGATTTTTTTGCAAGGTTTGAGCTACGGGGCTGGGAGTTTGCACAGGGGGGTAAGTGTGCATGCTGATTTCGAAAACAACGCAGAGAACGGGAAATGAAGTGTAGAACACAGGAAACGGGAAATGAAGTGTAGAAGTGGGCACAGGGAAAGGCTGTACAGGGATGGTGATTATGTTACAGTGTTATCACAGTGTTTTGACAGGGCCTTTATTACAGTGTTTTGACAGAGCCGGGCGGAGCCGGGTAAGCAAGCTAGTATCAAATATGCTTATATAAATATAGCATAAACTCTGAAAAAACTCACTTGAAGATGATCTCCTACAGCTTCTATGACATCTTCCAGTGTCAAAATTTCATCGACGTTTTCTTTCAGTATGGCTTTAAAAAAATTCAAATCATAGTATTTACAGGAAGCAAGTGTGCTGACTCACAAGCAACATAATCTTTGATTTCTACTGGAAGTGTAGGGAAAGTTCCGGCAAGATAACCAGGAATAGCGTCTACGTTTGCCATATTATTTGCTTTTATTCAATTATTTACAAAGAATTCGTGCCCTGAAACCGATATTAAACTTCTGTAGCAAAGAAAGACCTCCGCATGCATTCGTACCTAACCAGATAAAAAAGTGAAAAGTGATAAACACTGGTATAAGACAGGGGATCAGAAGAGCGTAGTAGGTACCGTCGGAGATGATGGAAGCTGTAGCGTCGTCTACCAGGCGAGCCTCGATTGTCATGCAATAGAAACAACGGGACGCTGAATTTGTTCCGAATTTTTCAGGTAACAACGAAAAGAAAATGCGAAGCGTAAAGGTTTCTATACGGACACAAATGCATTTGAAAATCTGGGTGGAAATACGACAACTTTTGAAGCACAATCGTCTTGCATTCGAGCGGTGTAAAGTTCGACTGCACGAAGTCGCCCGGTTCGCTGTAGACTGAACGCATGCGAGCGTGCCTGCAACGCGGCTGCCGAGTACGGGCGCTATGATGATTCACGCTCACGTACCAATGTTAGGGAACGGCCATAGGTTGTTGGTGTTGTCGGTGTTGTCGATGTTGTCGGGGTTGTCGGGGTTGTCGGGGTCAGAGACAGTTCAGAGAGCGCGCGAAACGTGGAGGCTATCATGAGGTCCTACAACGACCGGCAACCTCGGCAAGCCCGACAACACCGACAACATCGCCAACACCGACAACATCGACAACACCGACAACCTATGGCCGTTCCCTTAAACCGCAAGAGACACACTCGCGGGCGCTCAGCCCGGCGATTCCGTGCAATCAACTATGGCTGCATTCATATTGATCCGGAATTCGGAAACAGTTCCAGCACCGCGCTCGAACGACGCTGTGCCGGAACTGTTCCTGGATTTCGGGATCAGTGTGAACGCAGCCTTTAAAACCCAATAGATTCAACGAATAATACAGCGTTATTGCGCCAAAGACAACATTTGCCCATTATGGCTGCGCTAGATGGTCATCTTTTACGCGCAACTAGCAAGCAAGTTCAGCTACAAGCATGCCACTAGTCGCGCAAATGTTTTCGTCACCGTAGGGACAATGTTTCACAATTGTGAATTGTACTACACTGTAGTCCGCGATTCTGCGAGGGATGACGCGCATCCGAATCCATAATGTAGGACCTGACTGGATGGTGTATATAACAGGAATAGCGCAGACTCCTCTGGAAATTTTCCGTGATTTCGAGCACTAATGATCCTGTCGGGGAGTTGCGCTGAACTATGTACAGTCCCCCCCCCCCCAAAAAAAAGGCTAAAATTCTCATTAACAACTAGATTTATGGAGATTTTCAAAATACGGCAATGCAGCGAAATCGGAATTGTCCAAACATAAAGTCATCAGTAAGGGTTCTTCTGTTTCGCCAGGAAAGGAAAATGAAAATTTATGACAACCACACACTTGTGGAAACACAAGCAATACGACAGTGTTGGGAGAATCCATAAAGCGCTGACTGACTTCCCAACAAATGAATTCGCTTCGAATAGAATTCGAATCGACTGTTATATAGTCACGAACATACACGCAACGTTCGTCTCTCGCGTGCTGTTTAGCGCTGCATCGTGCTCTTTTATCATCCGCGCAATTTTGATGCGCTTTTTTTTACTTAACTGCGAAGAATGTCAACTAGCGTTCTTGAGCTAGATGATTTCCTCACATTTTAAAGAGGAGAAATGAGAGGTTGCATTTGCCTATTATTGGAAACAATACGTTTTATTTTTTCGACTTAATCGTTTCATTTCATACCTTTGTTATAAACTCTTCTTGTCTGTTATTATTCCAATTTTTGAGAAGTTTGGAGTAGATGTGTAGGATACTTTGGTTGCGGAGGATGTCTATCGTCTTCATGCTGGTTGACTTTAAACTGGTTGAAATCTATCGGTTCAGTAAAGCTAACGCGCCGGCGGACTAGCGGAGCTGACAACTCTTTGCGTGAAATGGCTTTGGAGCGCTCACACTTATTGTGCATTGCGATCCATTAGCATTTCTACGCGCAAATGTTGTCAGGCATCGCAATGTAGAATCACTCCTCTCTGCTAAACTGTACCATCTATCCTTACTTTAAGGCAGCGTCCAGGCAAATCTGGACCTATGGGGCTCTCACGTGGAAGTTAATCTTGAGGCCCTAAATAAGACTGCCCAAGCAGCAGTTCAGATAATGCACTCACGGCTAAGATATTGGGCTCCAAACTATGCCACGTGACCATCGCATGGAGGTTTTCTGCCTACTTATGATAGTTTCCAGAATTGGAAGTGACTGTGCTGAGCGCTGAGGTGGTGCATTTTATGTGGTTGTTTTATGCTCTTGTGTGCGCAAAGACCGCAGTCAAATCTGTCGCCACGATTTTATAGATGACCCATACATTAAATCTATAGTGTATCGTAGTTGCCCCTGATCCGTCTTCGCTGGACCGGCTCGGGATGTGACTGGAAACTGGGCATGCGTCGTACATACTCGCTATGCTTGCGAATGCTTTCTCCTTGTTGCGGCCGCTTGGGCTCGCCGCGCCGCACGCGATCCAGATTCTGAGCTATGACTTCCTCTCTAATGTTTTGTGATCCGAAACTATAGTATAGCGCATTCTCGAATATTTTTTCTAGGAGAGGGAATACTGCCTAGCAATGTCATAACAAAAGTGATACAATGTCGGGTGTGGGACCGCTTGAGATACCCAATGTCAGAAAGAAAAGCGCTGAGCTTTATCTACATGACTATGATCTGGATGATGACCTTTCCATTGCAACTCCGCCGGTCAATAAGAATCTGATTGACGTGGATGATCCAGTAGATGCTCTCAGCGCGAACCGGGAACAGACACGTTTTGTTGCTGCTGGATGTCGGGGAAGTGGGTAATTTTGAACTAGATTTTGTAGTAAAGACTCCAATTTATCCTAACTCACCAGTTCTTGCTTCCAGTACTAAAAGTGTTCAAAATGGACGAAGAGGGCTTTATGCAAGTCACCGATTTGCGGTCAGCTAGAAGTCGTCGTCTCAATCTTTTATACTCACCAAGCAATGTCGCGTGGAGCAAACTGAAAGGTACTTTTCTTTTTCAAATCCATTTTTTGATTGAAGATGGAGCCGTTTTAGACGAAACTCCCACTAAAGTTTCTTGCGCATTCGGCGCGCACATACGCGCGTATGCTCAATTCATTGATGCCGATTCATAAAAGCAAACTTTTTTAAAATTACGTATATCCCAGAGACCTCAAGAACCACACATATGAAGATTTTTTAATCACTTCCTTTCCGATAAACCATGCATTGGCTATGTTGTTTGAGGAAGTCCCCGTTGTGAAAAGGGTTACAGTAGTGGATGTTCTTCGTCTGAGGCCTGGGTAGAGTACACGCGATTTCATCGTCGCGATTCATTGCTACAAGACAACAAGTGTTACGAGTTCATTGCATTCCGATCATCTTGCATTTCAGTTGTGGTAGTTAGTCACGATTGGTTGTGCTGATGAACTATCACAACCGAAATGCACGATGATCGGATTGCAATGGACTCGTAACTATTTGTCTTGTTCGAAGAATCGTGGCGATAAAATCGCGTGAACTCTCCGAGACCTGAGGCACGCGGTCGTCAGCGTGTTAATCTCGAGGTACACTAATGGAAAAGCTCGGAACGAATTGCTGTTTCTGTTCTCTGATTTCGCGTTCCTGTACTGCTCCTTTGAGTTTTAATCGCCTTCTCTGAAAGGTTAACACTTTGCAAATCTGGATCTGGTCCTCTTTCCCCGATGAGCACAGCTTACTCGTCAAACTGTGCGTTCCACGACCATTTTTCACCTGCGAGTCACAAGCAAGTTCTAATACTGTTTTGGGAACAAATAACACAAGCAAACGTTGTTTTAGCTATGCTATAACATACAAAATTCCTTTTGAAATAGTATACTATTTTTGAAGCACGAATTTCTTTTGAAACCTTGCTGACTCTTCTGTTACGTTTATCTTATGACTTTCTTCACTTTAGACGAGCTAATTGCTACTACATCCAATAATGGAGCTGTCGTTTTGTGGGATGTCAATAAAGGAAGGATTGGTAAGCTATTACTATATCAGCAGCTACCATGTATTTCATATTTTGAAGCATGTTTACAGAAATGCACTACAAATCGCATCAACGCTCGGCCACTGTTGTTCATTTCCATCGATCCAACGAAAATCTCTTGATAAGTGGCTCAAGAGATGCAGCCGTGATCCTTTACGATTTGCGAGAGGCAGAGCCTATCAAAAAATTTGGGTAAACTTTTTCTCCTTTTCGTCTTTTGTAACTGATTCCGGACTATTTCGTTTACTGAATTCGCATATACAGTGTTCCTTGGATGCGTGCTTTTTCGCAACGCTCATACTAGCTTCCAAATCGCTGCTGATGTAAAAGTAGGCGAAACGGCAAAATTGTGCTGTATAGAGTACTAATTCTTAGGTTATCTACCACATGCATTCTTTGGCCATTTTGCTGTTTCTACCATGAATCTGTTAAATTTCCAAAGTGATACAACAGAATTACGGTGAATTCTTGGTGTCTTTCTAGTCCTAATGATTTTTTTTTGATGATTCTCACTGTTAGATAGCCCTGTTTTATAGTGGAAGCAATTCGTATGATGTGATACGCGACCTATCGTTCTGTTTACATCAAGATCAGCATGATCAATTCGTTACATCTGATGACAGTGGGACGATTCGTATGTGGGATACCAGGAAAGGTGACAGGTCAGAATCTCCAATATTTTGATTCAGTTTTGCATTGGTTTTGAGCAGCTGTCATGAAATCGTGTGTTACACAAGATCTTAAAGGCAGCGGCTCGGCAGATTTTGCATTTCCATCTTTTTGCATGTTTTGGGCCTTCTCGACCCGTAGATGCCGAATCTGTGCTTTAAAAGCGGTGAAAAGGCCTTTTTCGGGGCGTTTTTTTTTTTTAAATTTCCAAATGGCAGCTCGGACGAGAATTTTCAGGAAAGTCGGGAGGCCCTGGCACCCTGCTGCCTGTAATTTTGGCTTTGTATAGCATGCACAATGCGGGAAAGCGGTTGGGGGGTCCCGCGCCATCTAGCGGAGAACACTCGTCCGAACAAGGTGTTAGGGGAGCGAAAGGAGGAAGGGGAGCGGCGCTTGGGCCGCCCCCCTGGCTTGCAGAGTTCACATTTTCGGCGCGGAGTTGCTGTTTTGGTTCACTTGGAGGGCCTCCTATCCATCTGTGTCAAAATCTGAGGTAGGTCAATCTGCCGAGCCGCTGCCTTTAAATCAGATTCTTATTGTATTGGCTGGCTATTTTACATCTTCTTTTTCTCGCATATATATATTGTATAGGTCATTTATAAAGTTGTGACGACGGTTTTGACTGAGTCATGCTTTATCTGCGTAAAAGGTTCATACAAAAAGGCATCACATCACCAAAGGCTATTGCTCAGCTCAGTCACCTCCAGTGTCTTGCTATCATCATGCGAAAGCAGAAAGACCATTAGGGTAGAGATGAGAACTCAAAAGATGCGGTTGCCAAATATGCGTACGTGTCGCGCGGTCGCGTCATCGTCACGGTTTTTCGAACGTCCTACACTTGCGCTCTAATGTGATAGAATATGTACGGGGATTGAGAAGGAAGTCATCCGATTATCCGTTCGTGCCTCGCTTTTATCATAACCATATTTCCTCTCTAGCTGACCTGTGTGCTCATCAAAAAATTTGCATCTTTCTCATGATTCCCAAACTCAGTTTCGTTTTGTTTTTATAGTCACTCTTAGATTCTTTGCCTCACAAAGTTCTTTTCCAGCTTCCTCTGTCTCGTCCAAAATTGAACAGCGTAAATGTGGCCGACAACTAGATCAATAATGTAGGGATTGACCTGGGTTTCCTTCAACCACTAATTTTTTTCTTGTCAGCACTCTTATATCGGCTTTCATACAAGCATTAGAAAATTTGTTCATGCGACTGCGAAACCGATTTCTTCGAAATTTTCGTTGTAGTGACAACTAAATTCTTTCTGCTACCTTTGCAGGCCTTTGATACAGTTTCCCGCCCATCAAGGCTATGCAGCAAGCATCGCACTCAATCCACGCGAACGGCATCTTATCGCGTCTGGTGGAGGACGAGACAAGTTCATCAAGGTTAGGCATACATGATGCTACTTTACAATCTTTCCTGTAAACTTACGAATTGTACTCAAGGTTTGGAATTGGTCAGGGGCACGCCCTAATGCACCCACTTATCATGTGGAAACTATGGCCCCCGTGGGACGAGTATACTGGAGCCCTGATCCAAAGAATGCCTTTCACATTGCTAGTTGTGCCGGTAAGTGCGTTGCATCGGTCTGTTGTCTAATAACCTGTCAGCTGTTGAACTCTATTTCGAAGTTTCAGTCGTGAACGATATGAGTGTGCATATCTGGGATATTCGGCGACCATTTTTGCCCTACGCTAGCTTTGAGGATCATAGTGACAGCGTGACTGGTGAGATCCATTATTTATGCTTGAGATATTATAATTCTCTGGAATAGAGCAGTATGTGATCTGAATAGTGATTTCACATTCCAGTTTGCTAGTGAATATGCTTATTCGTTTTTGGAACTTATTTGGGTAGTATCATGTTATTCATCTTCGCAGACATGTGGTGGAATGCTCGACATCCTGAGTGCATTGTGTCTTCTGGCAAGGACGGCCTTCTGGTTCTTCATAAGATGGATCAAAGACAGTCACCACTTTCGTACGCATGTGATGTAGCTCTGGATGTGGCACCTGATGGACTGATAGGAGTAGCAAGTGAGTATCCATTTTTTTCTTAAGATTCAAGTGCGTCTCAGCCGTTGTGAAGCCTTTTTTGACTGCCACAAAACGTTATTACTTGCAGCGAACTCCCACATACCCATAATTAAACAGCAGGAGCACTACATGGCTAGAAAGGTAAATATATACTTGCACTCCATGATTTTTATTCTTATTTTATGATACAATCGACATATAATAAATTATTGGCGCATAATTGAGATTTATTTTCGTTAAGCAGAAATCTTCGCGCTTTCTACTTCCCTTATTTGATTATGTAGTGGTCGCTCCAACTTCTTTTCCCTTTTGAGTAGCTTGATGGATGCTAACAGAGGGGTAAATTAAGGAAAGATCAAGAGCAAAAAATTGCCTATAGGCTTTAATTTAGAGAACTCCATATGATCCATTCCGTACTCCTGTACGAAGCCAGCTGTCATGTGGTCTTCCAGACAATGCTATGAATACGCTGCAACCGACTGCATTCTATAAATTAGCAGAGAAGTGAGTTTGGATAGCTTTACCTTTGTGCGTGTCAAACTGTTTCAACGTTTTTAAATCGTGTAGTTCAGCTACCTGGCTGGTGGGCGGCCGTTACAAACGCTATGCAATCACAATGCTAATCTAGCTACTCTGTTGGGACAGTTAAATATAGCGCAAAGCTGGCGACTTGTGGCAGCGTTGCTAGATCAGACAGGGCTGCAAAAGGTTACCTTGCTGTATCTATCGTCAACGGATGGGTTTACACTCTGCTAAGTGTTAGTGTTTCAAGGTATACGATCATGATGCTGAATGTACAGCCGCCAATTATCGCGAGAAATACGATGAGTAAGACATTTTTTTTTGTTTTGGTTGGAGATATTTCCTTCAGTTACTAACTCTCAATTTTTTTTTCTTATAGATATGTGAAAGAGATGGAAAGACATGGGAAGAAGGTTCCAGAACCACCTCAAACCTTGGCTCTTCGGCCTACATACCTTACCCGTTTTTTGAATCACCATTCGAGTTTAGAACAACCCAGAAAAGGTACCCATCCTTCTTTACGGCCTCCAGACGACTTGAAGTAAAATTTTCAGAACGCCTGTCTCCTACAAACGATCATCGATACGAGCTGAAGCCTAGCAACGTAGCATCGGGAGATTTCTATTTCGGTGCTGGTGAGCTAAATAAGACCACCGTTGAGAAAGGAATGTGAGTTTCTTTTCTTGTCTCATCGAGTCTTCTTCTGGCAACCAGAAATTTTGCTCATTTGAAATTATCTGTTCAGTGAAAATCCTCATTATAACGATTTTACCGGTCTCAAAGATGAAGCGTTTGCTCTGAAGCCAGATTTGTCGAAGCTAATGTTCATGTCCATGTCATCCGATGATGATGGTAGGTTTTCCAAAGCGCTCCTTATTTTCTTTATTATTTCAATTCTTTTAGGGTATCTTGAAAAGGAGCACGTTGCACGCATGAATTGGAATCCTTTGCAAGAGGTAGCGAGGCTGTTACGGTACCACGCCGATCAGGTATATTAATCTCACTTTTGGGGCATTATGTGGTTGCCGATGAAGTGTGGTAATATTGTAGGGCGATATACAAACATGTGCAACAATTGCGTTGGTTTGTGGTCGACGACTTTCTGAAGTCATAGACGATTTCACTGTAGAAGCTTGGTTGGACAGTTATATGAGTAAGTACCAGTATTTATATGGTGTTCTCATATTCTTTGTTTATCTGGGCCTATCCATCACTCTCGGCCGAAGTCCAATCAACAGAGTCGTTTGCGACTGTGACTAATTTTTTATAGACATGCTGGATCAGTTGGAACTTCACACTGCAGTTGCTGCTGTCAAAAAGTACTCATGGATCAAACGTATCAACCAGAGATCGCTCGAGGTAGGTTGCAGTGAAAGTGAAAGGCTTTAGCCAGTGATCTGATAATTTTTTTGGGGTGGAAGGGGGGGGGGGGGCGGGAAGAAGGGGCGACAGAAAAAATTCTCCAAAATGGACGGCCGTAGCTACGATTTTGACATACACGATGCTTTCCTGAATTTCCAACTTATCACGGTAATTCGCATTTTCAAACGATCTTGAAAATTTCAAGCGTTCACAAGTAAAAACAAGTCCGTTGCGCAATTTTATACAGCTCATATCCTTGCTACTTTCAAAAATTATGCGACCCATTTCCTGATTGAGAATCTATACCGGTGAGTTTTCAGAAACATGATCTACGTTAAGGAAGAGAAAGAAGAGGTTGGGTCCGTTGTTGGTCCTGAAGGGCTTGCGCTGAATTAGCGAGCTGTCAAATTCGTATCTAGGCTCTCACATTGTTGCGTCGAGCTGCAGATTTGGCTTCTCGGTGTGCCATGCTAGTATTTTTTTAGGGCACCCATTTTCGACTCACACATCGCGGTTGCAATGGTCAAACCCTCCAATGCCGATGCATTAAGTGTCATGCAGTTTGTGGAGGGACGTGCTCTGTTTGGTGGGCTCTTTGTTGTATCTACCTCTCTTTATATATGCTCTAATATCTTAACGTTGTATCGATTTTTCGTCGGATATAATTTTTGTGCTTTCGTTTTTGTCTTGCAAAATTCTCAATTAAATCATATTTTCAGCGATGGAACGCTTTTACACATGACTTGGTTCTGTCGAAAATGTCATCATGCCGCTCATCCGCATCACATACTTGAATGGTTTACGGTAGGTGCAGCTTTTCCCGAAATGCTATTTTTTACGCTGAAATTGTAGACGCAACGAGTGTGCCCAGTTGCCAGCTGTATGTGCGAATGCGGTACCAATGTTGTACAGACACCACAAGAGAAGAAGATGACAGTTACAAAGAATAAAACTCTTGAAGCAATTCGAGAAGTAAGCATCACAAAGTTTAACAGCTTCTTTCTTGCTTTCATAATAGATTTTCTGCGTTATGCAAAGTCTTTATTTATTTATTTATTTATTTATTTAATATGTCTTGGGTTTTTATTAAATGCATCAAATCAATGGAAAAGGTCGGCTTGCTCTATTTTTGTCGCAACCGTTTTTCTGCCATTCTTCGCTCACAGAAATGGAATTTTCGAGTACACTCTCTTTTATTGCTTCATTTTATGCTTTTAGCGAAGTGAAAATTGCTTTCGACCCACAACATCATCGGACGTTACGACTTTGCCTTATGAGAGCTCGTCCGACAGTGACGATAGTGAAGATGAGAGCGATGAGTTGTCAGACACCGACATCACTATGCCATCCAGCGCCGCCGACTTCGTGGGTGTATAGATATTTGCTTGGGCAGCTTTTTGCGAAGAGCGGAGGAGCATGGCGTCATTCATATGGCAGCTTTTAGGAAGCATTGCTCGCTGATCCTGAAGTGCTCGAACGTACTGAGACACCAGCTTGGAGAGCAAAGTTTACTTTGCCCATGGAAAATCAGTATAGGGAGGTGCATATCTTGCGAATGAATTCTTTCAGGAGGAAAATATTTGTTTAGATGCTGCGAAACACTTCCGATCCTAAACAACGCCAAGAGTTATCTACAGTTCTATATTGGTTACAGGTTAGTTTCATAGCTGTAATATTCTCTTTATGATTGTTAATGGAAGTTTCTTCTCATTTCATGTTTCTGACGAGCTCTGTAGCAAGATGCGAGAAACTCTTTCTCTGGGAAGACTAGTTTTCAAAAACTTGTTTATTATCTGCTTGCGTCCCATAAATCTTGGTGCATTCAAAAAAATTATTGAGCGGTATCGCTGCAATGTGTTGCGTAATATTAGGTTGTCCCGAAAGTTTTGTCGGTTTTTTTCAAACCACTATAAAACCACGCACAATGAAGACCTGAATGAGTTTCAACATGCATTCGATGCAGCTTTTCCTTCTCTTTCTTATGGTTACATTTAGTAGCCAAGATCCTGTATGGTTTTTTTTTTGATAAATGCCACAAATTCACTCGTCGTTTTTATCTGCTCAAAGTTAGGCTAATTTTTAAAAATTTTATTTCAAAGCTTTGGGAAGGGCTAAGAGCATGGCACAAATAGAACAGTTCTCGGGCTATACACTAATATTCTTAGATTCTCCTAAGTTGCTGTTTCTAGCTTCAAAGAATTATTTTTTCGGAGGTCTCGATTTCTGGCAAAACCATGGAACACGCAACTGCGGCAAAAACATGAAAGCTTTTGGAATTTTTGCGAATTGAAACTTGATTGCTAATAAACATTCTTTATGAAACACATCCAAGTTTGATTTGTTTTGAAAAAACAGCTTTTTGGATTTTCGGTGATTTTACGTGGCAGACGTAATCAAAAAGCGGTGTTTTTTTCTAATAAATAATTATTTAGGACTTGATAAGCGTGACCCATGTAATCTAAATAAGTATAACGTAGCCGAAGAATGGCTCTACATAACAGTTATTAGTGCTTTTTGAAAGTAGCAGGAGAAAAATTTTTAAAATTCAGAAAAGATTTGGGGTTACTGCTGAGCTGCTCAAAAAGCCATGGCGATAACATTGCGAAGACAGGTAGATCAGAGAGTGAACATATGTAAGAAAGAGGATGAAAATCTGTTCCCAATGATACTTAGATCTTCCATGAATTGGTGTTCTATGGGTTTTAGTAAGCGATGGAAAAAACCGACAAAACTTTCGGGACAACCTAATAGTTTTGTTCCGTTTTACGCAACATCTGCTATTCTAACAAATTTTTCTTTGAACTTGCGAAATTGACAGGTTTCTTCTGTGCACCTGCATTAACAAGTGACTGAAATTTCGTCATCGCAACATTTACTAGACATAACATCTTTCATTTCTTTCCGCTCACGTCATATCTCTGTCTTTTTGCTTGTTGACAGACTTGCATCTTATCTACTCTGCGTCATATTTTCTTCACCTTGTTTTTATGTACAGTAATGCTATTGATCACATGTGTTAGGCACCCTTTTCCTGCTTCTCAAACATATGATTGCTCTCGTACGCTTCTATCAGATTATCTGGCTATCACGCCAAGCTTCGGGTTCTCGTATTTTTCCTTGCTTTTCTTGCACAGTTTATGCAAAATCACCTTAGATGCAGAATTGGAGATGCGTCCCCTCTGCTATAACATATGTATGTCGTAGCATTAAATCATGGAAAGATAAACCTGAAATTGGTAATTGGTTATTTCTAAGCTCAGTTTCCTACCACGTTTGCTGTCGTGTTTGTGTTTTGAGACTATTCTCCTAAGGAGGGATTTTGCAGCGCTGGATTGCCTGTGTGGCTCGTAATCTGAAATAATGTATTGATTGATGTGTTCAATCCATTAACAAAGTACCAAAGTACTTCCGAATTTTATTTGGCGAAGCACCGTCAAGTGCATTCCCCCGCCCTTCCCCTCCGAGGTATTAGCTGGGACAAGTTTAGTGTGACATGCACATGTCATTCCCCTGCGCTGTTCAATGAGGTAGCAAATTGATGTTATACCTTTTTGTGAAAACCATGTTTATCTCCCCAGTAGCGCATGAAAAACCCCTTTTAAATTACTTGCATTTACATTTGGTGTAGTGGAGTTTTCTGAAAATGCAGGAATAGTCTTGAGCGCTTCATCCTTTTTCCTATTCATTAGTAACTCTACTCCGTCGTCTAAATGAACTTTCCAATGACGTTGTTGCAGGCATTCACATATAGAGTGTGTTGAACTGAATACTTGGTTATCCGTGGGTAATGCATGGTCCTTTCCGCGAAACACACAACAAATTTCCATTTACCGTCGCTTCACTTTGTAGTTTCTCTATGAAAAGTTTATATCAAAAATGGCCTAATTTCGGCTCGCCTCACTTTTTTTGCTGCAACGTCATTTGGGTGCCAATTTTCATTCTTCTGTCTGATTTCACTGTCGAATTTGATACTAACCGTAATTTTGATTATTTCGCACTTCGCATGAGTTTGAAATGTGAATGCGCATTGGTCTGAGAGGTGATGTGAAGGTTTTCTTGTGTAGATAAATCCGTAAACGCCGAAATTGCTTCTTTTGGTTGTTTTCGAATTTAATGCACTTTTTTCAGTTTTATCGCTTGATTGGTCCGAAGTTTCTACAGGATCTCCAGCAAAAACAAGCGCAAAAGAAGCCAGGTATCTTTATTGTGTATGTTCTTGAACTTTCCTGCGTTTGGTGAACTTAAATTTTTTGTTGTCGGATTAGATCGCAGCTTCTTTTTCCTAGTTTCACAGACATTGAGCATGCAAATGAGTAAGACTGGTATCTAACAAGGGAGATCTTTTCGGTCAAAGTGGCTTTTTCACATGAAATTTATACGACTATAAAGAGTATCAAACGCTGATTCCAAATCTGTCTTCGTTATCTGCCGAGCGCCTCTGAACGTCGAGTTATGAGCGTTTTTTAAGTTGAGAAATTAAATGCATAATTAGGACAAAGTTCGTCAGAACTGCTCAAATGGCCCAATGTTGATTATCATAACACTTTATCTGAACTATGCCTTCTGTTTAAAGCACTCATACTTTAAACTGCTTTATTTGAGCGCTGAAAAGACAGTAAAATTTTTTTACTCAAATCTTACTTTCCTTTTTCGCACCAAAAGAATATTCATAACTCGACATGCAGAAACGCTCGGCAGGTAATGAAATCAGATTTGGGATCAGCGTTTAATGCTCTTCTTAGTGGTATAAAACTCATTTGGAAAGGCCACTTCGACCAATCGGACCCCCCTTGTAAGAAAACAGTTTTTTATTTTCCTTTTGAACCATCGATGCGTGTGTCTATGTAAGTGAGTACTTTTTTTTAGATTTGGAAGCTGAGCGACAAGCATATGATCTGTTCTATGAATACCAGGCCAAACAACACAAAGAAAGCGATGGACGATTTCCAATCGAAGAAGTTCCCAAAGAATTTGTGGAGCTGCGCGGGTTTCTGTTTCCAATGGGATCCGAATACGGTGCTTGGGATTAGCAGACTAAATGGTTCAACATGATGATGTGATTTTTTAGGCCCCCTAAATGCTGATCAAGCTCGCTATCGCGATTACTATGAGAGAATTTTGAATGGCGAAAACGATCCAGAAGAGGTAGAAGAGGTAGCGGAATGGGAGCGAAGATCTTTTGCCGAATACGAGGAGAGTTTATCCAGGAAGAAGTCGAAAAAACGGAAGAAAACAGGGGATGAGGTATTTTGTTTGTCATGTATCTCTGCGATTTACACTTCTTTGTCATTTTCAATCCGATCTCTTTTGCTATGTGTTTTCTGGTCAAATCATACCCTTGAGTAAAATTGCTTTTATTCTCTTTTCTACGATATTCACGGTCACATTGATCAGTGCGAACAGTAAAGATTCATGAAGATCTTGCAGATTTGAACTCGGTTTTGCAATTGTTCGCGCTTTCTAAGCGTGTCTTTTTGTTTACGCGGCGATCGTTAGTCATTAGTCATCAAAGATCATTCGTAGCGCCTGATAACTAGGGCACCCATTCACACTCAATTTTACGTCATCAAAATATTCATTTTTCTTCTTTATTAAAGCCTAATCCTGGCACTGCATTTCATTTGAGCGCATCCTCTGGTTTGCTTCTTCAGTGCTACTTTATCTGCTTATTTGCTCCGCTCTGTTCACGCAGTCTTATCTATCGGGTCCCTTTTTCTTGTTTTCAAGTTATTCTTTTCAATTCAGACAATTTCTCGTACGAGCATTTATGGGCAACGAAATCGTTGATTGGTGGCAGAATTATTGACGTCATTATTGAAGGAAGCCGTTGAATGTAATGACGCAATGTCCTATGAGTCAACTCAGCTGTTGTTTGGTGTGGTTCCTTCCATGTTTCACTAGCAGCTAGAGGTCAGAAGTACGAATACAGGTACTTCGTGGGTTCCTTTTTCTAGTTTGGTATAGAAATTGAGATTGTAAAATAGCTATTCGTCGTTTGTCCAATCGATAACTCAGTTTTGAGGCGAATGTCACAATTACAGTTCACCTTTGCTCATCATCTTCGTCATGATACGTGTAATTGCTTGTAATATGTAAATATAGATATTCTCTGTTCAACACTTCTTATTCTTGTCAGAGTCACAAAGGGTCCTTATGTTTATACACATCGAATCTTTCGCCAATTTGCACTTTTTGATCGGTCATGTCTGGTTCTTGCCAGCTCGATCAACCCGAACAGCCGTTTTTTTTTTGTACATAATGTGCCTTTATTTTCTCTTTCGATTAATAAAGTTTCATTTTTCTTGGAATGTGTAGTTTCTATATCGTTGAGCGAGAACTATCTATTTTTAATTTCAATGTAGGTCCATGATTAATGTGTTTGAGTCCATTAAGGTTTGGATGTTGTCATTGCGACTGGCAGCATCGTTACGTCATTGCGGATCTTCATTAGCACGTCGACCACCCGCGATCCTATTGAAACCATGTAGAAATATAAACAGGTGTGTATACTCTTTCTTCTTTTCATCACAGTGTGCAGTTTATCTTCTAGTTTTTTTTCTGTACGTCCATGATTGACTATTTTTGCGTGGTTGTGATTTTTTTTCTCGAAAAAAAAAGCGCCTTGTGCGCTATAGCTTGTGCGTATGATTTGGGGCACGATTCAGAAATGTTTGGGTTTGAAGACCTTGGGTTCGTTTTCCGTGGCACCTAGATCGTGTTTTCACCTATTCTATTTTTCTTTACTTCTTGCCCCTTTTTTGATTTTACGTGCAAGTTGGGGATATCTCAGAAGTGCGTGGGCTCAACAATTAGGTTGGTCGCGCATGTCGTATTTTTGCATTTGTTTTTCTCTTTTTTTGAATTTTCTGAATTAAATTTTTTTCTATTTTGAACTTCTCTGAATCTCTTCTTTGAATGTGAAGGTTTGCTTTATTTACTCAGACCTTTGGATATATCTTCAAATATGTTTTCAAAGGTCCAGTTCTGCTGCTTTGGAGCTATTGCAAGATGTGATTAGCTGTAGGGAGAACTATACATGAATGAGAATGTCTTATGTCAGACTTGGAGAGCAATCTTTATCTTGTCGTGGCTGGCAGACATCGATAACAATTAAACGTCATTTTGAACATTTACAACATGGCTATTTTACCAATTTTTGCCGTTTGGGGACCCGTCATACTTCCGCCGAAAAAAGCCCGAAAAGCCGAAAAAAGCTCGAAAGAGCCGGAACGCAGAAACGAACCTTTGGTAGAATTTTGACCTTATTTTGAGTGCAGACGACAGAAAATGAAGCAAAAAGACTCTGTGAAATCAACACACATGCCTTAGCGTCAAAACGGAAGGGACGTTTCGGCTCTTTCGGGCTTTTTCGGGCTTTTTTACGCTTTTCGGGCTCCTTTGTGCTTTTTCGGGCTTTTTTCGGCGAAGTATGACGGGTACCTTGGACAACGACCCGTTGGTGCCAACTTTCTGATTTTTTTTCCGATCACCGATGGATCTTATGGTCCGGAGTTAATTTTCTAATCAGAGCTCCACGTCTCTCCAGATTTCTCTCCATGTGCCGAGATCTTGTTGTGTACTTTCATCGTAAACTTGCAATTCTTAGATCCGAATCACCGGTGGGTCGTATTGTCCGAAGTGGCAGTAGACTCACGATCCTCCGGTAGGTCGTATATACGTGAATGTGTTAGTGTAAGCGCCCCCTCCCTGAGAACGGGTCGCGAAATTTTTGAATGTTACTTATAGGGGTTACAAAATTGTGCAAGTGACTTCTAAATAATTATAATTTTCAAAATCGGGAGTTCTGAGCCCGCGAAAATTTTGGGGAGCATACCAAAAAATTTTTCGGAGTGCGTGGCTGAGGCCACGCACCTTCATCGGAAAAAATTTTCTGTCCCTCCCCCCTCCTGAGCCGAAATCCTGGGTACGCCACTGCAAGACGGTGTGACAGTTCCTCTAAGTCGCGATGTTCACTTGTTAAGGTCATTTTTTATAGGGTCCGCTTGCTTCAAGTCGCATTTGGCACCACTGTCTATGCAGTCATCAATCTAAGACGAGTACGATGTGAAGCTCTTGTAGACAATCCTTGGCTTCTTACTCCACATGTGGTATGTTTCAATATGAGTTAACTTGGTAGCGGTAATAATAATGCACCAGTGTGAAATTTCCTGAATGCTCGATTTGCATTGTTTGAAATACTCTGACGTAACAAATTTTTTACGAAAGGTTTAGTTGTTGTGAATTATTCCCCTCTCATACTGACACATTTGTTCTAGAACGATCCAGTAAACACATCCGATAAGGTTGGTGAAGCTGTTAAACTTTTGACCATTTACACTTTGCTCCTCTTGTGTGCAACTCTTATATGTGCGTCGCTTGTTCATACTTTTTGATTTCCTTTATCTGTGAATTCATCTGCCAGTAAAGAGTTCAACTTGGATCTGCTTAAATCATCGACCTTCGTATGAGAACCTACATGCATGTAACTTGTACTGTGCTGTTTTTGGCAGGAAGAAAATTGCACTCTAACACCTCTGTGCTTTTGCTCCAGATTCCTGCATGTCTCAAGTCTATTTTGCAGAAGCCGATTTTGGAAAAGCGATCGATTTTCGTCCAAGTAGCCCATCTACCATGGTATATAGTGAGTGGTAGCTGGGAGATCATTAGGAGAACCTTGAGGTAATTTTTTTAATGGATTTGGAACTTTCACCATTGTAATGTTTTCAGGTGCATAGCATTAGCTTTTCGATTTCTACCTCTAGTTTTCACTTATCCATTGACTACTCGATTTGAAAAATTCAATGACTTTTGGTGGACATGTACTCTTTTAGCAATACAGGTGAGTTAATATATCAACTTCACACTTTACAACCTATTTCTATAATCTTCCCTTCTTGTTAAACCCATATTTATATCTTATTCCGTGTTTTCAATAATATTTGCACTAAAATTATATCTCCATCGTGATTCTTGAGTAACGGTGAATTCTAGAATGCAACCACTTTATGGTCACTCCTCATCACCTTTTTCTTCTAAATCTTCGAACACCTGATCTCTTTTTTTGCTCAAAATCTTTTTTTACCATGATGGTTTGTCGTTATTATTGCTATCTCATGTTAATCGACTTTATTCCAAAAACTGTTTGACATGTCGATAATCATTTTTTTTTTGATTTTCTCTTCCTAAAACTTAAAGGCACCGCCCACACAGTAGGGGTTCATGGGATTCGATGGCATACTAATGTGGGCCTCCACACTAGGCCAACCCCCAAGTAGTGCCGCAAAATATTCCTTCCGAAGCAAGAAATCCGCTCCGGAAGGGACGTAGTCCGGAGCTGATCACTCCGCCCACCTTGTCACTCCGCCCATTTTGCAGGTTTGGCGGGCTGCGGCGCTGAACGCCGGGCGTATAACGCGCTGCAGCCCTGCGACTTGCATTGCGCCGTTCTCCAAAACGGGGTTTTTTTGTTATTTCGCGGATTCCTGACTACATATTCGGAATCAGGACCTTCAGAAAGCCTGGAAGCGACAAAAACATGGAAGTCGAGAATTTGGGTGGACGGTGCCTCTAATGAAGTACATACGCGAAAAGGAATCAATGACTCTTTCAAAAATATCTTTGCAACGTGCTGTGTGTGTAAACCAATGCAAAGTAAACATACCATACGGCTAAGAATGTCATTTTAGAGCAGTGGACCTACCTTCATCAAACTTGGACAGTGGGCTGGCACTCGCAGAGATATATTCAGCAAAGAATTCTGTGATAAAGTAAGCGTTTTTTTTTGTCCATGATCATTGGGAACTAGGATGATTTGTCGCTAGTTTTTTTGGCATCACGTCATATCTCCATATCTCTTTCAGATGTCTATATTGCACACAAAAACAAAAAGGCAGCGCTACTTTCGCGATTGTGATGCGATCTTGGATGAAGTATTTGGTGAAGGATTTGCCAAAAAACACAAGAAAGATGTTTTTACTCATATAGAACCATATTCTATTGGTTCTGGTTGCATCGCAGAGGTAAATTTTGAGCTTGGTATATTCAGTTGTTTCACAGTATCTTATGTAGGTGTACAAAGCAACAGTGAACGTTCCTGCGCTAGAGAAGGCTACTGGGAAAAAATTTCCGCAACTAGGGAACGCGGAAAAAGAAGTCGCTATCAAGGTCGCGCTGAGCTTTTCCGTCTTTATAGGTGTGCTTAAATACTTCTTTGCTTAGGTTGCTGACGATGGCGTTGAAGACATGATCAATCTCGATTTGTCGATAATCCATTCCGGAGCCAAATTCTTGCTCATGGTATTTTTACATCAACGTATCCGTGAAGGATCTCTATCACAACTAACTAATGCAAATATCAATTACAGTTAATGCCATCACTTGGTTACTTGGAGCCTCTTTCGGCCTTAGAACAATTTGAAATGGTGTTGCGACGTCAAGTGGACCTTCGCAATGAAGCCAGAGCTTTGCAGGTGAATTTCTTTTTAGATTCCAAAGTTCCTATGTTGACCCATTCTTGCATTTCAGAAATTCTCTGAGAACTTTGATCATAAAAAGACGGGCGTCAAATTTCCAATCGTCATCGGGTATACAAAAAATGCGATAGTGGAGACATTCGAACGTGGAATGTACATTAATCGGCTTGTAGCTGATGAACATGATCCTGAGGTATGTTCTGTCTCTTATCGATTTCTTTACTTTTTCTGGCGTGAAAAATCTCAAGTTTCTGAGTAGAATTGTTAGGACACATCTGAGGTAAGTGATAGCGCGCGAGCGGTGCAAGCTGAGCTGCGTTCTTTTTGCTAAATCGTCCTTGCAAATTTACCATGATGCTCAACACTGCATCTTGGGTGTGCCCTAGCTATGAGAGGCAAAATATATAGTGGTTATTGAAAAAAATTCTTATGTGAATTGTTTTCAGCTTGCTGCTCGTCAATCGCCTCAAGTACGCCGAAAAATTGCCTTGCTAGGTGCACGAGCTCTTCTGAAAATGATTTTTGTGGATAATTTTGTACACGGAGATTTGCATCCGGGAAATATTCTGATACGGTTGGTTTGGTCTCAGTACTTGTTGATGTACAAAAGATTTCATTTCTTCAGATTCAACGAGGATCAAGATTATCTGCCTGGTGTTCATAGCGCGCTTCCTAAAGAGACGTTCATCGAGCGAATGGTAAGTCTTGTAACTTGCTCTTGATCTCTATAGTATTTTATATCCGCTTTATGGGTGTGTAATTTCTACTTTTTTTGTCCGAAGTTTATTTATATTAGTACGCTAATGTGTTCAAAACATGCGCGTTTTTGAACAATGAGTTGTTTTTTGTTTACTAAATGCGTTTTCAATGGTAGAGCTATTTTAAATCTTTTCCAATGTTATAGTTAGAAAGGAGAAACTCCAGTAGATGTCGCATATTTGCAGACTGAGTACATTCGCGATCTACTCAAATGGCGAACAGAACCAAGAATTCGATTCACGGATTCCCTAGAACTTGTCGATGAACCTACATTGATTATGTTGGACACTGGAATTGTTGTAATGGAGACAGAGAAAAATTTAAAAAATCTAAAAGCTTTGTTCAGAGCCATCGTGGAGAAACAGGTTTGACATATATCTCACTTGACGCATTTTGTTTTCTTACATACCTTGTTTTTCCATTTTTTTTTCAAGAGACAGACAATTTTTAGGGCTACAAAGCTGGCCAAGTGCTGCTCACCCACTCCGATAATAATAAAAATTGCCGTAATCCGGATGAGTTTTGTAAAAAAGTGGAAAAGATAGTGGAGAAGGCAATGAAAGAACGATCGCTTAGAACGGTGAGTTTACTCTTCCCACATGTTCTTTTCTGGCTTTTTTACAACAAGTTTCTCTCGATTTACAATCTTATTGTTATCTTTTCTCTTTTTCCTTTCTATACCTTTCTCTGCTTTTTTATTGATAAGTCGAGAGAGGAGATTAACTCTCTTTTCCTAACAATGGAGAAAAGAAGAGGTTTGCGTCAACCATCGTTTTCCATATTCGCTAGGGCTTTGCTCTTTTTTTTTCTTGCCACGCTAACTAGAAAAACCGTCCTCTAACAAAAATACTTATTCAGAATAATCGTTACAAACATTTACCCCTAACTTCCTTCTTTTGTCCTTTTCGGTAAAGTTTACTTGAATACGTTATCACAACAAAATTAACTCTTTTTCAGTTGAATATCTCGGCACTGTTGTCAGAAATGTTTGCATTAGTGGCAAGCTATCGCGTCTACCTCGATTCGTCATTCACATCTCTGGTGCTCTCCGTTATGGTTTTAGAGGGATTCGGACGATCATTAGATCCAGATCTCGACTTATTCCAGTGTGCCCGACCGTATCTTCTGAATATGATGTAGGTAGTTTCGTTCTGCAGATTTGCGCATGTTCTTTCTCATTCCGTTGCGATCTCCGCAATCGCATAACGATTGCTGGTGGTTCTTCGTGGCTTAATTCAGCAATTCGATTGCTTGATTGTATTCAGCGCTTTTGTTTGCTAGGGTTGAGTACATTGACTCAATCACTCCCTTTTGTTCATCTCTGCAAGCGGGAATTTGATTGCGAATTCAAATCTGTCTGTTTGTTCGTTCTTTTTTTTTCACATTCACTCAGGTGGTTCTCCTAAATTAACTTGTGAATTGTATACTTGTGAAATAGTCATGTAACAGAATAGTGATATCGTCCTACAAAGGAATCTCACTAGTCCTAGACGTCTATATAAAAGTTTAGTTGAGTCATCTGCTCCTATGCGTGAAATTACACAACGATTACGAATAGGTTGTCGGTAATGTCACGGCTTTAGCGGATAAGGCCCCGGTGGCCGCCTCGCTCGGCCTTGCGCTGCGTTCGCGTATTCTGGGGCCCGTTTCCCATGTCTCGCCCCAACTTCAAGCGGCAGAGGTATGAGAAAATGCCCGTGGAGCTCGCTTACGCGGCGCAGGACCTGAGCGAGACGGCCGCGAAGACCCGAGCCGTCGGAGCGGTAACACTGTAGTGAAAAATGATAATATCTTTTAGACATCGAAATTTGTGCAACTGCACACATGAGCAGATGGTTCGATTATAGTATAATGTTGTGATCAGCGAATCGCAGCTTTAGGTACAGATATTTCTTCTCAAATTTAGTGTTTTTGACCTGTATTATTCTTACCTCAAGGTAGAATCATAACGAGCTACTTGTTGTTAAATCAAAGATTAGCATAAATATATTGTCTTGCGGACCTGTATAAACGACTTTCAAACTGGGCATCAGATCCCGACACAATGGTGCCTGTTTTTCTATTTGTTTTTCATTACTGCATGAGTAATTTCGCTCTTTGTTCCTCACAAATTGCATATCGTGATGAGTGGTGGCTTTGTTTGTGGTGTTGTGATGAATAAAGCATGTGATTTTGGTTTTGTATTGACACAAAATTCATACAGTTTGTGATTTTATTTTTGTGCTGTGCAGTTGTGCAACTTGTCTTGCAAGGGATGATACTTGCTCGAAGTGGCATTTCCATAGGAGATGTATAACTTCTCATAGAGCATGGAACGCTAAGACCAAATCCACTTTCGATATCTGCAAAGCGCTTTTAGGAGTGGAGTTATGGAATTTTTTTATGCAAAAACCTGAAAGCTCCTCTACAATAAAATCATTCAAAACCCTAGCCCGTGAGCTCATATGAGGCCATGATTACTACCAGGACGTTCTATGGAATAAAAACCGTCAATCTAATAAACTCATGTTAATCTATTCTTCTTTCAAGCGTCTGAAAAATCTCAACACCAATTTTTATCTAAGCCCAATCATTGAATTCTTATTTGAAAAAAAAATCCTAGAACTCGTTTCCCAAAAGCGCTTTGCAGATACCGAAAGCAGGTTTGGAGTCAGCGTTTCATGTTCTATAAGATGGTATACATCTCATATGGAAACGCCACTTCAACTAAGTATCCTTCCCTTGTTAGAGGACTGCTCTGAACCTTGAAACTGTCCTCGATATGGTGTTATGTGCACGTGAATCACTCTCTCTTGTTTCTCCATCAATTGCGTTTTCGGAAATGGAGGGAAGAATTTTTAAGGTCAGCAGGAGATGGGGTTATACTCAATTAGTGGACAGACCTGATTCCGAGATTTAACAGTAGCAGTGTAGTGCGTTTCTGTTTTCGTTGTAGTTGAAGCCGTGAAAGCAGTGTTAGCACTGCCCCTCGCGGCTAGCTCCGCCCACGTCAACTTCATGGAGTCTCTTTGGCATCTTCGTCTGGGTTATGCAATATGAGGATTGAACATTCTATTTTATTCACTGACACCTCCAGTGGAGTTATGAATCAAGCAGATTTTAATATCCCATTGTTTTGATGCTGACATGGGCCTTAAGTCGCAATCGTTGTGCAGTGCTGTGCCATGAATGTTGTGGGTTGTAAGTTCACATCTCTCGGTTATTCTATTGGTATTTATGTTTTCATAACTCCAACTCTAGGTTAGACTTGAACTAGCATTCGATGTCATTTCATCCACCAGTACGACCGGAAGTCAAGCCTAAACCACCGAAGCACTGGTATGAAGAGCTCGTGGAAAATGTGAGTTTTTAATATATAAACAACTTGCTTATAATTTCTCTGTTTGATAGCTGCAAACCCCCTAGTAAAGTAACAGTTCAAATATGTTCTTCTTCTATGCCTCTAGGGGAGCGCAGCGACTGTGCAAATTCCTATTCGGGTTTCCCGTTATCGTGTGAAATTCTAAAATACTTTTGCATTTTCATTATCAAGGGTTTGGCTGCCGCCTTCTTGTTATAGTTCATTTATAAAAACGTGACGACCGATTTTACTGCGGACTTTGCGCCCACAGGAGCATAAAACGCTCATACAAAAAGGCATCACCTCACCGTTCGGCTCAGTCACTTCCAGTGTCTAAAGATTATCATAAGCAAGCAGAAAACCATTTGTCTAGGAATTAAAGCCAAGAAAATGCGATTTTCGGGAGGGCGTGCGTGTCGCGCGCGGTCGTGCCATCGTCACGATTTTTCAAATGCCCTGTACTTTTAGGCTATTAGCTGTGAAAATTAGGAGAAGGTTCTAAAATTCGTTAAGCGCATCTTTCCATTCTCTTCAGTGCTTTCCGCACAAAAAAAATCTTTTTATCTTGGTCATAAACACCATTTTTCTTGTAACAAATATTAGGATTGTTTTTTTTTCACTTTAGGACGAAATCCTCCTATACTTCACTGCCAGCCTTGGTGTCTTACTCCCTGGTCTTGTCTATGTAATTTATCATAAAGTACATAATATTTATATGAATTATGCCGAGGTTAGTTTTTTTCACTTAATTCAGTTCAATTACCCAAGTTTCTGATTTTACAGAAAAAGGAGCAGGAACGATTAGCAGATGAGATAGCTCGTTCTGAAGTCGCTATTGTTTCATTATGCAATTCAGAGGGAGTCGGGCAACGGTTTCTCACCCATTTAGAAAATGTTTTGAAAGCTGAACTCGTGAATCCGCCGAGGATATGGTACGCAGAAAAGCTGAAAACAAAGGATTTCGCTGCTTTCAAGGTACTATCTTGCTATCCGCTCGTTACATAGAATTTAGCTTCTACCAACCTTTTTGCACTCGTATATGATGTGCTACCGTACCTCATGTTTCTAGTAAAACTAGATCGCAACGTTATCTGGTATTTCGCCTGTACGAATTGTCTCAATGAAGAGATTAGGTTCAAATTTTGCAGCTTGAGTTATCACCTCCCTTTTGCAGCGCAAGGTTACGGTAGCATACTGTAGCGGTGCAAAAAGACGTCTTATTTTTTTTGGTCGCATCCAAGCACATTTCTTCAGGGTTTTTGCATATTCATAGTCGACACGGTACAAGGTGCACCACCACCCACTTGTGAATGGTTTCTGGAGTGGCTGGAAGATGTAGCCGCAGATGCCAAACAACGAAAGAAAGCAAACTTTGATGCTATAAAGTTCGTTGTCATTGGATTTGGTCCCAATACAGATGGTGAAGCGAATTTCAACAGGGTGAGAGTTTGCTGATTTTTAACATATTTTTTTTCTTTGTTGAGAATTCGCCAGATAACAACAAGAAGAAAAAAGACGTAAACTGCAAGAAAGTATCTATTTTTTGAGTTCTATGGTAGCAAACAGTTTTTTTGTTATTTATTTATTGTTAAGTTAGTGAATTTTAGTTAATTTTTTTTTTGGTTTTTCACCTTTTCTTCCGGAGTAACAGTTATGCGTCATGAGCAGATCACCACTATGTTTCGATAATAAGCACCGCATTTTTTTTCAAGTTAGGGTAAAAGATTGTTCCTTGTCGACGAAAGACCAGAATCACTATCTAATCAAAGCCGAAAATTATAAAGAAACATATTAATTAAGCATAAGGCAGTCATAAATTAGCTTATTTTTCTTATCCACTTATTTGGCAAATTTATGATTTTACAAACATTTTTTTTGGCTCAGTAACAGATAGGCTTGAATCACATCGTGTCATTCCAAGCGTTGAAATGATGAACATCACCGCCAGAGAGCCTCGCCATAGTGATCGGCGGGCGGATCGTCTGCGCCGTATCTCACGCTGCTGACAGTGTCGCACATAGCGTGGCAGATAATGGGTCTACGATTTTGATTCTATGTATTTGCCAAATGGAAAATATCGTAAGGCAGTTCGGGTAAATTGTTTGTTGTGCATTTGATGATTTTATTCAATAAAAACTGGAATATTATGGACCATAATTACGTTTGATGATTTCAAACAGTGAAACCGGGATTTTATTATCTATTCATCAAAAAATTGAGTAGAGCAGTATCCTTGATTGCCTTTACTCCTCAAATCAAAATTTGTCTTGCACTGAGCACTTCCATACTTTGGAGATATATGCCACCGACCTTGGGGGGGGGGGGGGGGGGGGTTTGACTCCATACAAATTATGGTTTACATCAGTGTAATTGAATAGCCTACTGGGAACAATTTTTTTCAAATATTTTGTGCCTACCGTTTAGCACTTCTTTGCAAGATATAAGAGGCTAGTAGTAGTATCAGATTGTAACATAAGTTTTGTTCCAATTTCTTGGTCTACCTCCGAAAAAATTTAGGAACTTTGGCACGGTTTTATATTTGACATACATGAGGAAGAAACAAAGGGCTATTTAGTGGCTTGGTTTTTACCTTTACCAATATGGGTTACACGGTACATGTAAGCAATTGTGTGACAGCCAACTTTCAATTTTTATGTTTTTGAAATGATGATAGGGTTTTGGGAGTTTGAGCTCATCAATAAGAGGCCCGCATACTTCGCCCAAAAAAACCCAAAAGCGCCCGAAAAAGACCAAAAAAGCCCAAAAGCGCCCGAAAAAGACCAAAAAAGCCCAAAAGCGCCAGAAAGAGCCGGAGCACCCCTGGAGCTTTGGGTAGAATTCTGATATTATTTTGATGTGCAAGACAGAAAATGAAGCAAAATACGTACTTATTACTTGCGCGAAACGGGGCGTTTCGCTCTTTTTGGCGCTTTTGGGTTTTTTTCGGCGATGTGTGACGGGTCCCTAATGCAAGTTGCAAACTTCCCAGGAAAAACTCGAATTATTTTCAAAAAATTTGGAAACTGAATTTCTGTGCGAAACGTGTATATCAAAAAGCTACAATCCTCCACATGATTTGTAAATAAAGAAAAATCTTGTAAGATCGTTATGAAGATTTCGACCTAAATAGGAAGTAGAGCAGCTCTTATTTCTACGGCGCATTTTAGACCTTCAAAAAAAAAAGAGGTAAAATGGGTTTCTTTCCGACCCATGCAGCGATCTCGCTCTTTCGAACCATGGGTCACTTTGACATTCTATAAATCGTTCAGAAAATCTTAAAACTTCTTCTGGATATGAACTTTACTCTTAAATTTGTATATGAAGCGTTTACAGGCATCTCGTACGGTTCTAAGGCGGATGAAGATTCTTGGATCTAAGCAAATTATGAATGTTGTACTGTTTGACACAGAGGAAGAAGGTAACTTTTCAGACTTGAAAATTTGGGAAAAAATATGACAGTGAGAAATTTTTAGAATCAGAATTGAATGCGCGTTATTCGGATGTTTGCAATAATCTCCTACAAGCTATCGATAAAAATTTACCGGGAGCTGAGGAATCTGAAACGTCTAGCGTCAGCGGATCGTCCGAAGATGAGATGGACGATGAGGAAACCGTACATGACAAGAAGACGCTGTAAATGCTTTGTATGCATAATTTAAAATATTGGTTTTTTGATTGCTTCATATTTTTGTCTCACCTTGTCCTCTAAGAGGTTTGAGCTTATTGTGTCATGCTGTATAATCTATAACTTCATTATTTATGCATTTTACCAGCTGCACTTGATCTAGTCATTGAGTTTTTTTTGCATGTTATAATAAAGTGTAAAAAGTCAGATCAAAAAATTTGTTATGTTGGGATTGCCAAAAAGACTCCTTTTATCCATCGTAAGAATCTAAACTTCATTGCCTTATTTTGCCACAGGGTGAAAATGCGGAACGGCCTGTTTGCACCGCTACAGTATGCCGCGTGGATTCCCTTCACCGTCTAAGGTTAAGTATACCTGTTTTGTCACAGCGCTGCTCAGACAACTGACCGGAACTTCCGCAGGACGTTTGAAAAAGTTGTGCCTGGTCACCTGAGGAAGTCCCGTAAACGTGCTGCGGAAATTCCCGAGTGAGGCGTTGCAGAAGTTCCGAAGAATGCGAACCGCAACAGCGAAAGAGAACAACTAAGCGAGATTTACCTTATGCTCTATTGACTGTGAGACTCGCTTATTATCCTCTGCAGTACGTGATTACATGTTCGACAATGCACTTTAGTTCTTAGCGAGACAATATCGTAAAAGACAACACTTAAAAACCTGCGGAAGTACTGGCAAGCCAAAGTGCGGCGGAACGTTGGCATTTTTCGGAACTTTCGCAGCGCTTTGTATAAAGTCACGTATTCAACCAGTCTGACGTGAAAACCCTGCCGAAGTTCCCATTTTCAACGTTTCCACTTTTGCAGTAGTAAACAAAATCCTGCGGAACCGTTGCTAATTTTACTTACCCTGCGGAAGTTCTGTTGAATTGCCTATGTGCGTCGTAGTGAAGAAATCCAAATTTTCGGAAAATAGGATAACGCAATGTTAAAGTTTTCGTCTTCTGCAGTTGCGAAAGGTAGCGGTACCATATGGAGTGCAAAAGGTTCTATACTCTTCGAGTCTGTCTTATATTTGTTACTTGATGAATCATCTATGCTACTTTTCGATGGAATTTTCAATAATCCTGTTCAAATTTGAAGAAGGCGTTGTACGTTTTTGTAATATCGAGCAATCCATCACTTTTTTGTTAACCAAATGCAAATTCAATCCATTTTCGCTTTCCTTTGAATAAAAATGTGAACGATTTCAATGCGTCCCAACTAATTGACATTCAAGATGATTTGTTTTTTCTGAGTTTCAATTTCTTTTTTTTTCATTTTGAATCTACCTTTTCTTCTGCTTAAAAGAGAACTGATTTTTTTCAATCGTACTTTCGAATCTTTCAAGAGTTGAATTGAATGTATCTCTGATTTCTGAATTTTATTCCAATTTCATGCCAGAATTTGCCACTTCTGTGCTAATGCTAGCCTTTCAATCGATATCCTACGTATTCACGTCATACTTGCTCAGCTCGGACTTTCACGAAATTGCTATTTTCTGTGTGACTAATCTTTCTTTAGATGTATAAACAGTCATACCGTTACTCAACTTCCAATTCTTTCTTATGAGAATTCAAGTAATTTTCAAGCGCTAAATCGAAGTTCACAGCTTCTTCTCTTGGTAAAAGCCTAATATCTCTTATATGCTCCCAGGCTTCATTATGTTGAATAGCAAGCATTCAAACTTCACGATAAAACGCATTCAATAAATGTACTTCAATGGCGGTTTTTCAGAATTTCCATCCCGGGGGGGGGGAGGGGGCAAAATTTTTTTTCACATGGTGCGTGGCCTTGGCCACGCACTCCGAAAATTTTTTTGGGGTGCTTCTGAAAGTTTTTGCGGGCCCATGATCACTAAAATTTACAAAAGGACCCGAAAAAAATTTTTTTTAACAAGCCCAATTTGATTTTTAAACAATTTTAAAAAATTATTGTAATTATTTACAAGAATAATCAAGTCACCTGCACATTTTTATATCCCTTGTAAGTAACTTCAAAAATTTCACGACCCATTCTTGGGGGGAGGGCCCTCGGACCGCCACTGATGTACTTATATAAAATTATTTCAAAAACAAATATATTGCACCGTTATCCTCCATTCCGTGGTTTTTTTTTTTGACAGAAATCACATAACTTGGCACCAAAAAGTATCATCTCTTCTCCAGTGAAAGAATTGGAAAGTGAAAAAGAATAAAAGATTTGAAGAACTTTTTTTTCACAGCTTTCCATGATATCATAGTTGACTGGCTTTCACCGAAAGGGGAGTCGTTTTTTGATGATTTGTTTTTTTTAATTTGTAGAATCAAACTTCATTTGGCGTTTGCAATGATTTTAATCGATCACAATCTGTAAATTTTGCAATATCGGGCAATCCATCACTTTTTTGTTAATCAAATGCAAATTCAATCCATCTTTCCCTTCCATTTAAATAAAAATGTGAACGATTTCAACTAGCTAACATTTAACATGAGCTGTTGTTTAAGCTTCAAGTCTCTTCAACTTTTTCCTCCCTTTAATTTTCTTTTTTTCTGCTCAGAAAAAACTATTTCTTTTTTTCGAATCAGATTCTCGTAAGAATTTCCAAGAGTAGGACAGATCCAAAAGCAATAGCAATTATAGCGATATAGCCAATGTAGCAATTTTTCTCATAGACTGTATTTTTAGCAGTTTTCAATTTCTAAATCTTCTCTTGTGTGCCACAATTTGTTACTTTTCGTGCTAGTACGGACTATTTCAATCGATTGTGTATTCATGTATTATGTAAACATTTGCTCAAATTCTATGCATTTTTGATTTTCCTACATTTGCCCAACTTTCACCAGCTGATCGATCAGCGAGCGTAGTTTTTGCGAGTAGCTTATTTCTTCAAGTTGAACTAGTTTTTTCATGTAAAGGGAAGATTAGATATATTTGAGCAGTTCAGGTGTTTTATATTTACATTGCAAATTCTAGAGTATATTGACAAATATTTGCGCTGCTTTCTCAATCTATGCTTCTTTTTATCAACTGGCAGCAGTTGCAGTTTGGGTGGAAGTTTGTCTGACTTAGTTTACTTCTGAATTTATTTCTAGTCGTCTATAATTTCTGCAATTCTTCAAGGTAAGTATTCTAATAGAAAAAATACTTGATTTTCCGTTTTGTCCGTTCCCTTAGACGGATTAAACCCCCTCAGGGACTCCTTAGTAAGGAAAGAGGTTTGAATTAATTTTCATAGAAGATTTCTGAAAAAAAGTTCAAAAACACATCTTGCATATTATTAGTTTTCTTTTGTGGGATGATCTTCTGTGCGTAGTGAAGAAAGAATGAACTAGAATGAACAACTTTTATAATTGATGTATGCGTCTAATTTGCAAGATATGAGGATCTTGATTCTTAAAGTTTTATGGATTTGTAGTCGATGTTGTATTTATTAAGTACGAGCTGGAATCCCGGGTTTTACCCCGTTTTGGAGCCAGTCCATTGTACTTGATCTCTCATGTAGCGAAATTTACCCCTATTTTTATTCCGACTCGCTTCCTACCGTCCTTACCAGATAACCAGCAAATCAAATTGAGCTTTACCGCTCATCTTTCATGACTATGGGAAATGTGCACAGACATACAAATACACAGATTTTCTGCTTTATATATATAGAGATAAAGGGATTTCTGTTAAGGCAATTAGAAGTGAAAGATGTTATTGTATGAATGTTACATCCATTATCGATCAAGATAATTCTAAGTTGTGGGATTTTTTTGCATAATCGGTTAAGTAAGTGCATGTTTTGCTATTCTAAGAGTTTTTGTATAAACAGTTTCTTTTGATATTTTTGATATTTGATAAGTCTTGCCGTTATTGTCTGAAATTTTTTCAAGAAAAGGTCCAAAGTTACATCTGCTAATGCGAATATTCTATGCACTCATATTAGACACTGTATTCATATTAATGATCAGTGGCGAGAAATCCCGGAACTTTAAATTGGCTTGGATTTTCTCCCTGCTCGTTCTGACTAGTACGCGAACTGCACTTTCATCCATGGCTTGAACTAAATTGGTATCTATACTTCAGAAGACATGCACTCAGAGATTGCTGCAATTGCATTTTGTTAAAATAACTTCTGAATTCATGTGGCTTGTCTTTTTTGTAAGCTCCAGCAGTGGCTGAGAGTGATGGAACTGGTAATACAGAATGTCCCAAAAAAATGTGAACACTGGTTGATCGTTAATAACTCCCTTGCTTTTATGTCTTCCGCCGAGCTTGAGGCACCACTCTATAGAGCGAGGCCTAACTTAGATCTACAGTATGGAGCGAATCACCGATCGCTTCTCATTACTGTAGGATTGCTGTAGGAACCTCGACAAAGATTTTAGCCCATTGGAAGCCATGTTCTGCCTTAGAACAAAACTAAACAAGCCAAAAACTCTTGTATCACGGTAATGGAAGCAGCTGATTTCGAATATGAAATTTCTGGTTTACTGTGTTGCTTCTTTCCAAAGTTAAACCTTAATAACCGAATTTCCAGCATTTGTCAAAAATGTGATTACACCGTCAAAAAAGCTGAAAATACTCATAAGAAGGTGCGTTATGGAATCAGCGTGCGCGAAACCCTTAGTACACGATTTTTCAGATTTTTTGAAAAGCATTTTGTCAAATGGCATATTTCACAATAGATCCACATGCCAGAAGTTCATACCGTAATTCTACAGTAGTGAAGAGCGATCGGTGATTTGCTCCATGCCACACATCTAAGTTGAACCTCGCTCTACAGAATGGTGCTTCAAGCTCGGCGAAAGACACAAAAGCAACGGAGTTCTTAACGATCGAACAATGTTCACATTTTTTTGGGACACCCTGTAGTCTTTGTATTTTTGATTTCATTTTTCGTTCCTACACTAGGGTAAAACGCTAGAACGTCAATTAAAGGCAGTGTCCGGGCAAAAACTCGACTTTGAGATTTTGTGCTTACCCGGGCCTATTCGCTATGCTGAATCCGAAAATCCACATTGGAGAGCGCGAAAACGACGAAAAAGGGCTCTA